GATCCAAAGGGAGGGACCTGAAAAGAGTTGCCTCGAGGTCAAGGCTGTAAAACTTCTCTAAATGATCCGTTCTAATTGCAGTTAAATCTCCGCTAAAAGCCATTCGTTTCGGCCGCAGTTCCGATAACGCTCCGAGATAATTCCTCCGGGAATCTTCAGTCATCAGGAGACAATAGAGCGTCCAGTTTGAGTGAGGAGAACGGCCCATCCAGCCTCCCCCTGCGGAAAGGGTAGGTGCCGTTAAACTCCTCACCGCCGATGCCCTTCCCTCCACGCTCTTTTAATAAAATCATTTCGCCGGCACATTCCGAGCGGCAGATCAGTAATTACACCACGACCAGGGTCTTCTAATGTTTTAATCAGTCGGAGATATTGAACTGCTTAAATGTGATTAAAAATGAACGCACTGCAAAAAAGTGGTGAGAAATAAGTTGGAAATGAAACAAATTTGGCAAAATGTGTTTTAATTTGAGCATGCTTTGATTGACAGTTAGTCAGAATTGTCCGGTATTGATGAATAAACTATTTCAGGTCAAAATAAATCTGAAAGAGGAATAGACAGAAGCTTGTAGACTGCCGTAAAACAAGAATTGCCAGTGGAAAAAATACAAATGATCTTCTTCTAAAAGCTCTCTATAGACCGATGTCTCATATGTGTTTGTTAATACTACATTTCCTGCTTTAGAACCAGAGTGGGCAGGTCCCGGCTCAAAAAGGTCCATAAGCACGTGCACTGACATACTTGCAGTACCACTCCAGGCCTGTGGGGGTGTACCCAGAAAGAGAATTATCCAATACTTCTGTATGGCGTCTTCTTACCTGTCGAAAACCGCTTTATAGGATGGTCCAAAAGTCTCTTGGTTCATCAAGTTTTTTTCTTCTTTTGGACCAGTCTAGTTTTGCTGCTACGGACGTTTGAATGGGGCTCATGCCGGTTTTTTTCAACATTATCCAGCACCCACGGCCATTTTGAAACTGCCCACAGAAGGCGAAAGAGATGGCACATTAGTTTGAACGGTGGAGATAGGCATGACTACATCCGTTGATATTTAGAGTCAATGTTTGCAAACTGGTTGATTCTCTGATCTGTAGTTGGCGAATCGACAGCCTCCGAGACGACTGCTGCTTTGATTTAGAGCTACACAAAACCACACTGAAGTAGAAGTTGGATACCCCAGCTCTAAGGCCCTTGAACCGCCGCCTAAAGCCTCTCTCTTGTACAAGCCCCACTCCACATGTGAGAGATTGCTTTGAACTAGTCTCCTCGGCTGCGTTTCTCGAAGGGTTCGGAGTGTGTTATTATCACCTGGACGACGCCGGCTGCCACTGGTTCCCGTAAAGAGCGTGGCTTTCCCCTGCTGCCCTTGTTTTGAGCGTTGGGAAAAATATGAAAAGACTGCGGTGTAAGCACAGAGCAGAAGACATGGCTCCCTGGGGTTCACCTGCTCTGGCTCACACTTCAGCATAATTCAATGATAAACACACTTTTGGGTGGTTTTCAGGAGCTATTTTTGCCACGACAGAGTTTGGCATGATTAATTCAACGGGTCAGATCACAAAAAATAGCTCATTACACTTGCAAATTTCAATTTAATTTCGTTTTTTGTTCTGTGGAAAAGTACAGGGGCTGCCAATCACGCCACCCAAGCTCAATCCCACACTGCAAAAATTATATATCAATAATAATTGCTTGAAACGAGTGGTTTTTGTCTTTTTCTGAGCTCATTCTGATTGTCTCAAAACCAGATTTGCAGATGAGACGAAGCCATTTAGTCTCATTTCAAGAACTGTTGCTTTAGTTTTTCATTTTGCTTTGTCCCTTTTGGTAAATGTTGTTCTAAGGCAGTCAAAATGTGCTAAAATTAAAATGCGTAGCCTGGTTGTACCACACCTTAGAACAATTTTCATTTCATACAAAGGTCTGGATTTGCTCCATTGACTTAACAGGTGGGAGGGGCTAACTCCTTTTGCAGATTGAAACCATTGGATCTGAGTTTACCGTGACGTATGTAATGCGCCAGACTGTGTTGTTAGCATTAGCATTTAGCCTAGCTTTAGCCATCTCCTTTGCTGCTAACAAAGCCCGTGGGGAGTAGCGCCACAATCTTGACCGGCGATTATATTTGCTAAACATTCCTCTTGCTCTTGCTTCAATTTCTTGATAGAACCAGACCAGATAACTTTACTATCGCATTCTTCTACGATGTTTAGAGTCTGTTCTTAACACTGGGATTCTGAAACTATTAGAACTCCCAGAGCCGTCGTTTTGACTCCTTCTCAAATCAATGGAATTCTAAGAAATTCTCTCAAATTTAACAATATATCACTAATTTGTCACCACTTTTTGCAGTGTACACGATGATATCTACACAAGGAACTTTCTGTGGTTTCAAAGTTGAACTTCCTTGCCGTAATAAGCCATAACACAGTCACTTTCAAGCGTATCATTTCCACTTCTTCAGCTTTGGAGAGTTAGCAAACGACCGTAGCACAAGAATAATTACCAACGCTGACAATCAAGCTTTCATCAGCGAGACGCACTTTTCTATTAGAGGACTGTTGGATCAGCCTGGTCCCGGGCGAGCCAGGACCATTGGACACACTCTGACAGAGGTGGACGTCAAAGTCAAAAGTCTGCTCCCGTGACACTGAGCCGATTAAAAATGCAAAAGTGTTGATGGTGGAACCCGATATTCCCCGAACCCTCCAGTCCTCGCGGATGCTCTAAAGAGGCCTTGCTAGCTGCTTGCTATACACCGCCTGTTAATTTCCCCCTCGCCCAAAGAGCCCTGTGCTTGTGTGTACTTTCAATTATCCTCTGAAATGCAATTCCAAGTGATGTCTGCTTGGCCGCGACGCCGTTTCTCATTTCCAATTATTAATGTATAGCAAGGTGGCAGCTAATCATGCTTCGGCATCGCTGCACAAACACGCTGTCAATTTTGTTTCCAATTAGACGACGCAGGCGGCGAACGGAGCCGCGGCGGCGATATGTGTCATCTGAGCTTTGCATACGGCAGACTGTACTTTCTGCTCAGTGATGTACACACGCTCATTAAAGAGTCCAAATGCTTCCCACGGTTAAGTTTGTGAGGTGTCAAAGGTGTAAATCTAACCCGTGAGAGGCTGAGAGCGGAGGGAGAAGGCGGTCGGACTCTGAGGGAAGTCTGGGTTTAGGAAGTTTGATCTTGTCTTCAGGTAGAATGAGGTTTTTTGGTTTTTCTAGACTAGACAATAGTAAGTTTGTGATGTTACAGAAGCAAAATAATAAACCAAATAACCTTAATGTAAGTTATGTTTTGGAATCTGACCTGCATGTTTTAGACTCAGGACAAACATGAAGAATATTAAAGGCTTCAGATAAGAATCGAAGGCCATGGAGACCTCGGTTATATCTGCATACCTTCTTCTTCTTTCAGCGAGGACTTCAGGCAAAGTGGGGTTAAGTGTCTTGCCTAAGGACAGAACGACAGCAGACATCAGTGGAGAAGGTCTCATGGTGGGACCGAACCCACGACCTTCAAGCTGAAAGGTCAATGCTCTTCCAACTGAGCCACTGTCGCTCAATGTTAGTAGTTTGTGATGTTATTGAAGCAAAATGCCAAACCAAATAACAACCAGCAAACATGAAGAATATTAAAGGCTTCAGATTAGCATTGAAGGCCATGGAGACCTCGGTCATATCCGTAATGCCTGGATTTATTATTATATCATATCAATATCTCAAGCATTGGCATCTTTTCTATCTGAAGGAGTGACGAGTCTGTTCTGACGAAGATAAAGTCCAAGCGTTAACCAAGAGAAAAAAAAACGGTATCAATCCAACAACATCTTATCTGTTGTGCCTTCTTCTTCTGTGGTTAAATATTCCCAACCGTGCTGATCGCCGTAACTCTAACCGAAGCTAAATGCATCTAATCAAAAAACGACATTTATCAAAAAAGCAATTTCATCTCATTCTTCACATCAGCACAGACTGAAACTTAAAACTTCAGCCGTCGTCTCTTCCCACCGGACCAGATCCTTTCATTTCTTCTGCTGGAAATCGCTTCAGTCATCAAGGCCAGAGAATTTATCAGATAAGAAACAAAGGGTAATAAAAGTCTGAAGTCGTCACCGTCTCTGGCAATAAACTCACTGTGTTTTCTCCACTTCGTACGAGTCGAGCTTTTTAAACGGCGCTCTCCGTCGGGCTGGAAGTCTTAATCGCGGACGGAGAAACTGGTTTAAAGACTTCAGAGAGATGCGACTCTTTCGTTTTTATCGTGTGACGGCAATGAAGGCGATGTTTTCAGGCGTTAAGGAAGGCTGTGATCAATGCAGCAGAAGGACATGGGTTCAGAGTCAGAGAGACCTTACAGAGGGTGTTGGCTCCGAGATGTTTAGAGTCTGGGGTTAACACTAGGATTCTGGGACTACGAGAACCCCCAGAGCCGTCGTTTTGACTGCTCCCATTCAAATCAAAGGAAATCTGAGAAATTATCTATAGATCTATAAAAGTAAGTATTTTATATGTTTTTTAAATGTATGTTTTTTCCTTTACTCTCTTACCATAAGTGCTACGACTGGTTAATGTGTATATGGTATGTTTCTTGCACTTTTACCTAAGGGCAAAAACAGATTTAAAGGTGCAGTAAGCGATTTGGTTAGCTTAGCCGTAGCACCAACTGGAAACCACTCCCCCCCCCCCCTCTCCTCTCCACCAAACCACTCCCCCTCCCTCTCCACCAAACCACTCCCCCCTCCCCTCCCTCACCACCAAATCACTCCCCTCTCCACCAAACCACTCCCCCTCTCCTCTCCACCAAACCACTCCCCCCTCCCCTCCCTCTCCACCAAACCACTCCCCCCTCCCCTCCCTCACCACCAAATCACTCCCCTCTCCACCAAACCACTCCCCCTCTCCTCTCCACCAAACCACTCCCCCCTCCCCTCCCTCACCACCAAACCACTCCCCCCCTCCCCTCCCTCACCACCAAACCACGCCCCCCTCCCCTCCCTCACCACCAAACCACGCCTCCTCTCCACCAAACCACTCCCCCCTCCCCTCCCTCACCACCAAACCACTCCCCCCTCCCCTCCCTCACCACCAAACCACGCCCCCTCTCCTCTCCACCAAACCACTCCCCCCTCCCCTCCCTCACCCACCAAACCACGCCCCCTCCCTCTCCACCAAACCACTCCCCCCCTCTCCACCAAACCACTCCCCCCTCTCCACCAAACCACGCCCCCTCCCTCTCCACCAAACCACTCCCCCCTCCCCTCTCCACCAAACCACTCCCCTCACCACCAAACCACTCCCCCCTCCCCTCCCTCTCCACCAAACCACTTCCCCTCCCTCTCCACCAAACCACTCCCCCCTCCCTCTCCACCAAACCACTCCCCCCTCCCTCACCACCAAACCACGCCCCCTCCCTCTCCACCAAACCACTCCCCCTCCCTCTCCACCAAACCACTCCCCCCTCCCCTCCCTCTCCACCAAACCACTCCCCCCTCCCCTCCCTCTCCACCAAACCACTCCCCCCTCCCCTCCCTCACCACCAAACCACGCCCCCTCCCTCTCCACCAAACCACGCCCCCTCCCTCTCCACCAAACCACGCCCCCTCCCTCTCCACCAAACCACTCCCCCTCCCTCTCCACCAAACCACTCCCCCCTCCCCTCCCTCTCCACCAAACCACTCCCCCCTCCCCTCTCCACCAAACCACTCCCCCTTCCCCTCCCTCACCACCAAACCACTCCCCTCACCACCAAACCACTCCCCCCTCCCCTCCCTCTCCACCAAACCACTCCCCCCTCCCCTCCCTCTCCACCAAACCACTCCCCCCTCCCCTCCCTCTCCACCAAACCACGCCCCCTCCCTCTCCACCAAACCACGCCCCCTCCCTCTCCACCAAACCACTCCCCCTCCCTCTCCACCAAACCACTCCCCCCTCCCCTCCCTCACCACCAAACCACTCCCCCCTCCCCTCCCTCTCCACCAAACTACTCCCCCATCCCCTCCCTCTCCACCAAACCACTCCCCCCTCCCCTCTCCACCAAACCACTCCCCCCTCCCCTCCCTCTCCACCAAACCACTCCCCCCTCTCCTCTCCACCAAACCACTCCCCCCTCCCCTCTCCACCAAACCACTCCCCCCTCCCTCTCCACCGCGGCACGGTGGCTGAGTGGATAGCACTCTCGCCTCTCAGCAAGAAGGTCCTGGGTTCGAATCCCGGTTGGACCAGGGCCTTTCTGAGTGGAGTTTGCATGTTCTCCCCGTGTCTGCGTAGGTTTCCTCCGGGTGCTCCGGTTTCCCCTACCACTAAAAATATGTACAATAGGTCTGGCATGTGCCTCCTGTACTGGCCCCGCTCCCAAAAATAACAATTGTAAACCGCTTTGAGACTCTGATGTGCAGTGAAAAGACGGTATATAAATAAAGATTACTTACTACTACTACTACTACTACTACCAAACCACTCCCCCCTCCCCTCTCCACCAAACCACTCCCCCATCCCCTCCCTCTCCACCAAACCACTCCCCCCCCCCCTCCCTCTCCACCAAACCACTCCCCCCTCCCCTCCCTCTCCACCAAACCACTCCCCCTCCCTCTCCACCAAACCACTCCCCTCTCCACTAAACCACTCCCCCCTCCCCTCCCTCTCCACCAAACCACTCCCCCCTCCCCTCCCTCTCCACACCAAACCACTCCCCCTCCCTCTCCACCAAACCACTCCCCCCTCCCCTCCCTCTCCACCAAACCACTCCCCCCTCTCCTCTCCACCAAACCACTCCCCCCTCCCCTCTCCACCAAACCACTCCCCCCTCCCCTCTCCACCAAACCACTCCCCCATCCCCTCCCTCACCACCAAACCACTCCCCCCTCCCTCTCCACCAAACCACTCCCCCCTCCCCTCCCTCTCCACCAAACTACTCCCCCATCCCCTCCCTCTCCACCAAACCACTCCCCCCTCCCCTCTCCACCAAACCACTCCCCCCTCCCCTCCCTCTCCACCAAACCACTCCCCCCTCTCCTCTCCACCAAACCACTCCCCCCCTCCCCTCTCCACCAAACCACTCCCCCCTCCCTCTCCACCGCGGCACGGTGGCTGAGTGGATAGCACTCTCGCCTCTCAGCAAGAAGGTCCTGGGTTCGAATCCCGGTTGGACCAGGGCCTTTCTGAGTGGAGTTTGCATGTTCTCCCCGTGTCTGCGTAGGTTTCCTCCGGGTGCTCCGGTTTCCCCTACCACTAAAAATATGTACAATAGGTCTGGCATGTGCCTCCTGTACTGGCCCCGCTCCCAAAAATAACAATTGTAAACCGCTTTGAGACTCTGATGTGCAGTGAAAAGACGGTATATAAATAAAGATTACTTACTACTACTACTACTACTACTACCAAACCACTCCCCCCTCCCCTCTCCACCAAACCACTCCCCCATCCCCTCCCTCTCCACCAAACCACTCCCCCCTCCCCTCCCTCTCCACCAAACCACTCCCCCCTCCCCTCCCTCTCCACCAAACCACTCCCCCTCCCTCTCCACCAAACCACTCCCCTCTCCACTAAACCACTCCCCCCTCCCCTCCCTCTCCACCAAACCACTCCCCCCTCCCCTCCCTCTCCACCAAACCACTCCCCCTCCCTCTCCACCAAACCACTCCCCCCTCCCCTCCCTCTCCACCAAACCACTCCCCCCTCTCCTCTCCACCAAACCACTCCCCCCTCCCCTCTCCACCAAACCACTCCCCCCTCCCCTCTCCACCAAACCACTCCCCCATCCCCTCCCTCACCACCAAACCACTCCCCCCTCCCTCTCCACCAAACCACTCCCCCCTCCCCTCTCCACCAAACCACTCCCCCCTCCCCTCCCTCTCCACCAAACCACTCCCCCCTCCCTCACCACCAAACCACTCCCCCCTCCCTCTCCACCAAACCACTCCCCCCTCCCCTCCCTCTCCACCAAACCACTCCCCCCTCCCCTCCCTCTCCACCAAACCACTCCCCCCTCCCCTCCCTCTCCACCAAACCACTCCCCCTCCCTCACCACCAAACCACTCCCCCCTCCCCTCCCTCTCCACCAAACCACTCCCCCCTCCCCTCCCTCTCCACACCAAACCACTCCCCCCTCCCCTCCCTCTCCACCAAACCACTCCCCCTCCCTCTCCACCAAACCACTCCCCCCTCCCCTCCCTCTCCACCAAACCACTCCCCCCTCCCCTCCCTCTCCACCAAACCACTCCCCCTCTCCTCTCCACCAAACCACTCCCCCCTCCCCTCCCTCTCCACCAAACCAAACTCCCAGAACCAGTCCTGGACCAGAATCTTGAAAACCGGGCTTTACCTGACACAGATCTACAGTATAAACTCTCTGACTGCATAGTAAAGAAGCATATTTAAAATCTCTAACTTTAACAGTGACTCTATATTGCCCATTCAGACATTTTAAAACATATCTGTTACTCTTGCACAGTTATTCCAATGTGGTTCTACTGCAAGTGACAAATAATCTGAATGTGTCTGGGTTGGTTCCTGAGTGTGGAGGACTGGGAGGTGAGCGGGGGTAATGGAGCCGTCCCCTCGGGGAGAGGCCAGACCACCGCTGCAGACTCTGGATGAATATTTGATGGGGCCTCCTCGGTGGAGCAGACACGGGGCCCGGTTCACGGCTCCACATCCTCCAGAAGACAATCAGCCGTCAGAGTGCACTTACTTATTCACACTTCACTGGTGGAAGGACAGGACGTCTCTCTGTGAATGAGACGCATTAACTTGTGTATTGTTAAAACTCTGGCAATTATTATGAATATTTTACAGAGTAGAAGAAGAAGACTCTGTAAGATCTAGCCTCAGTCCTGGGTCTACAGCCTCAGTCCTGGGTCTACAGCCTCAGTCCTGGATCTACAGCCTCAGTCCTGGGTTGACAGCCTCAGTCCTGGGTCTACAGCCTCAGTCCTGGATCTACAGCCTCAGTCCTGGGTTTACAGCCTCAGTCCTGGGTCTACAGCCTCAGTCCTGGATCTACAGCCTCAGTCCTGGGTCGACAGCCTCAGTCCTGGGTTGACAGCCTCAGTCCTGGGTCTACAGCCTCAGTCCTGGATCTACAGCCTCAGTCCTGGGTCGACAGCCTCAGTCCTGAGTCTACAGCCTCAGTCCTGGGTCTACAGCCTCAGTCCTGGATCTACAGCCTCAGTCCTGGGTCTACAGCCTCAGTCCTTTGTCTATACAGCCTCAGTCCTGGGTCTACAGCCTCAGTCCTGGGTCTATACAGCCTCAGTCCTGGGTCTACAGCCTCAGTCCTGGGTCTACAGCCTCAGTCCTGGATCCTGTTACTACTTTAATAATTGCCCTGTACCTTCTTCCAGTTACAATTTCCCAATTCCATTATATATTTGGGCAAATGGCGGTTTAACTGTTATTCCAATATTTTCTTGAGTGCAGCTCGACAGGTCCAGCCTTGTTTGTGGTGTGTGTGAGAAAGTCTTTGTGCGAAGCCGGTTTAGTGAGACCAGTGTGACCCCTGCAGCTCCGGACCAGTCCAGACCTGTGCCAGACTCTCTCAGACACAACTGTGACAAAGCATTATTTTGGATTTACTCACTGCATGTTCATCCAGAAAAGCTAAATCCATTATGTACAGTGTATTTGTTGGTTCTAGACTGAATATTGAGATCAGAACTGTCCCCATGTGGTGCAGAAGGAGATTTATTTAGAAATACAGTTTTAATACCATTTTATATTAGAAGAGAACTACTAAAGGTTTCAAAATCAGTTGTTGTTTTTTTTGTCTGATCCCCCCAAATCGAAATAACCCCATAGAGCCCTTAGAGACAAAAACGCTTCACAGCCCTTGGTGACCTCAGAGCGGGTACGTTTCAACGCTGTAAGTTGTTTACAATTTGGTATTCGTTCTTTTTTCGCGGATATTCAAGATGACAAGGCGAGTATGATATTAGTACTAGATTGTGACTCTTCATTAGCCCTGAGATAGTCCAGTGGTTGTGTTGATGGACTATAAACCCAGAAACTGGGTTCAAATCCCACTTCAAACACATTTTCACTCTCAAAACGGCAATGTATGTGTAGTGAGCAATTGTCACCTGTAGAGGGCAGTATTGTGTTGGGCATCAGTGGAGAGAAGAGAGAAAAGGCAGTCCTGTGGCATAGATCCATGGTTTTCAATGCATGGGCGTAACCCGCTGTGACGTCACACACAGGTTAGAGCATAGACAGGATTTTTTTTGCCGGAATCTATTTCAGATCGACAGTGTCATGCAATTTTGATATCCACTTTTTTTTTTTTTTTTTTAAACCCGGCCTTAGGTCTTTAAATCAAATGGTTTTTATCGTAATCTGACACATTCTGACTGTGTTTAAACAAGATTCTCCAACGGGACAAAGTTAGTTATTCATATTTTAAGATGCATTGATTTATTTTCTCATTCCAATAGAGACATTTTGCTTTGTCCCACTGGCAAATCTGCTTTAAACACAGTCAGAATGTGCTAAAATTAAGACGAAAACCACTCGATCCAAGCAATGAATACCTCATATTGTATCATTTTTTGCAGTGTAGTTCTTGGCTAAAGGTGCCGAGACTTTCTTTTGCATTTTTCTTGTTGGGAATTTTGCGTTTGCCAGAGCACAACCACCTTTAAACTACACTGCAACTCAGGCTCAACAAAACTCTGCTTCCTGATATTTAATCTTGAGCCTAATCCCGGGGCCTGATCCAGGATCTGAGGACCTGACCATGGACTGAACCACATGTGGAGGCCAACAATTATTAAGGTCACGATTTTGAAAAGTTACACATACCAGCTTTACTTTTATACATTCTAACTCCTCCTCCTCCTCCTCCTCTTCCTCTTCCTCCTCCTCCTCTTCCTCCTCCTCCTCCTCCTCCTCCTCTTCCTCTCTCACCTGTGGCCTGGACATTCTCCTCTATTCCAGCAAATCAAATTATGCACCCGCACTTTTGAACTTCTCGCACTCTGTATCCCTTTCTCGCTCCGTCTCTGTCTCTCTCTCTCTTTCCGTCTGTCTCTCTCTCTCTCCGTCTCTCTATCTCTCTCTCCGTCTCTGTATTTCTGTCTCTCTCTCTCTTTCCGTCTGTCTCTCTCTCTCTCTCTCCGTATCTGTGTCTCTGTTTCTCTCTTTCTCTTTCCGTCTCTCTCTCTCTCTCTCTCTCTCTCCGTCTCTGTGTCTCTGTCTCTCTCTTTCTCTTTCCGTCTCTGTCTCTCTCTCTAGCTCTCTCTCCGTCTCTGTCTCTCTCTCTTTTTCCGTCTCTCTCTCTCTCTCTCTATCTCTCTCTCCGTCTCTGTCTCTCTCTTTTTCCGTCTCTCTCTCGCTCTCTAGCTCTCTCTCTCCGTCTCTGTGTCTCTGTCTCTCTCTCTCTCTTTCCTTCTCTCTCTCTCTCTCGCTCTCTCTGTCTCTCTCTCTCTCTCTTTCCGTCTCCGTCTCTCTCTTTCTCTGTCTCTCTCTCTGCCCCCCCACCGTCTCTCTCCCTGCTCTCTTTACCCCCCCTCCCCCTCCCCTCCCCTCCATACCCCATCCATCTTCATCCATGTCAATTACCCCGTTAGCTTTAGCCGGTGGATCTCTATCTGGCAGAGTACTTCCCAAAGTCGCCCAAATCCAATTAGAGTCCGGCTCTGGCCCATTAGAACCGACCTAATCAATACGCGGGTCTTCATTAAAGCCTTTTATGAATATGCATGTTGACATCCAATCCCATACTTGATGGGAAGCTATACGGCGGCGTTTCCCCACATGGCACTATCAGCTAACCTGCTTTTGGGTCTATTAAATTCATATTAGTAACTGGAGAACGCTTTACCGGATTCTGCCCGACCAGATTTCCAGTCGGGTCTGAACCGGTTTCTCTCTCTCCCGCAGGTATCTGTCTTCCAGCTCTCTGAAAAACGTGGCTAATTGCTTGCTAACCGCTCAAACTGCTTCTTTCAACCGAATAACAAACAGCCAATAACTCATTCGGGGCCAAAGCATCAATTACAAGTGTGTGGAGAGACGCAGACAAGAGGCCGGTGGTTGGACGGACTGCAGAGTGGGACAGAATATGGCTTTTCACTTTCTTTTCTCCTCTTTCACTTCTACAAACTTTTTTTGTGGGATAAGTGTGTTTTTTATATTCTAAAAAACAAAGAATAAACTGTTTTGGAATCTTTCAGGCAGAAAGTACAGCCAAAGTAGATGCTATTGCTAATGCTAATGCTAACCCAGTTCATTTGTTTTTTGTATATACTGCAAATATGAGGTCATGAATTCTCCAATGGGACAAATACAATTTAGTTTAATTCTTTAACTGTTGCTTAATTTTCTCATTCAAAGTAAGACACTTCTGTATAATTTTAAAACAAGATATTTTTTTCTCAAATTAAGCCACATTTGACCAAATCTGAGCAATTTTTGATATATTTTTCATCATATTTTGCAGTGTAGCATTTACTTGTTCCTGAAACCAGTTCTTAGTCGTTTACTGAATCTAATGTTAATGTCACATTTTACCAGAGAAACTTAGTGGAAACCTCTCTCTCTCTCTCTCCATCTCTCTCTCTCTCCCCTTCATCTCTCTCTCTCTCTCTCTCTCTCTCTCTCTCTCTCTCCATCTCTCTCTCTCTCCCCTTCATCTCTCTCTCTCTCTCTCTCTCCATCTCTCTCTCTCTCCCCTCCATCTCTCTCTCTCTCTCCTCCATCTCTCTCTCTCTCTCTCTCTCCATCTCTCTCTCTCTCTACATTTCTCTCTCTCTCTCTCTCCATCTCTCTCTCTCTCTCTCTCTCTCCATCTCTCTCTCTCTCCCCTCCATCTCTCTCTCTCTCTCTCTCTCTCTCCATCTCTCTCTCTCCCCTCCATCTCTCTCTCTCTCTCCTCCATCTCTCTCTCTCTCTCTCTCTCCACTCTCTCTCTCTCTCTCTCTCTCTCTCTCTCATCTCTCTCTCTCTCCCCTCCATTTCTCTCTCTCTCTCTCTCCATCTCTCTCTCTCCCCTCCATCTCTCTCTCTCTCTCTCTCTCCATCTCTCTCTCTCTCCCCTCCATCTCTCTCTCTCTCTCCCCTCCATCTCCCTCTCTCTCCCCTCCATATCTCTCTCTTTCCTCCATCTCTCTCTCCTCCATCTCTCTCTCTCCTCTCTCTCTCTCTCTCTCTCTCTCCATCTCTCTCTCTCTCTCTCTCTCTGTCTCTCCATCTCTCTATCTCTCTCTCTCCCCTCCATCTCTCTCTCTCCATCACTCTCTCTCTCTCCATCTCTCTATCTCTCTCTCTCTCTCCTCCATCTCTCTCTCTCCCCTCCATCTCTCTCTCTCTCTCCATTTCTCTCTCTCCATCTCTCAATCTCTCTCTCCCCTCCATCTCTCTCTCTCTCCATCTCTCTATCTCTCTCTCCATCTCTCTCTCTCTCTCCCCTCCATCTCTCTCTCTCCTCTCTGATGTGTTGTTGTGTTGTTGTTGTGTATCCCCATCCTCCACATGTGGTTCTCTCTGAGGTTCTCATTTTCTCCCTTTGGGTTTTTGGACTTAGAAGGATCTAAAGTGCTTCACACTGGAAAAAACAAGAACAAAATGTGAAGTAGAAATGACTGAAACTAATTTAGGGGCAATACTTTTGTTTTATTGTGACGTCACAGCGTAACAATGACATCATCACAGCTTAGGGCCACACAGAGAGGGCTGGAGGGGGAATCGAACCCATGATAAATCTGTCGTTATGAGTCAGTGATCCAACAGTCTCTTTCAGAATAATAAATAACTGTATCTGATTTTCAGTCTCTCAAAATGACAAAGAGACACAAAAACACTTGTTATTGGATTGTAAACAACAAAGCAAAGAACGAGACGAGATTCTGGACTCGGGGATTCGAACCCATGTGAGAACGAGGCTCTGATTGTGTTTTTATTCTGCATCCAGTGAAATGTGTTGATGAAGAGGAAGTATTGATGAGACAGAAGGCAATTAACATCTGAACATGAGACGGAGACTACAGCGTCTGCAGAGAGCGGCAGAGAGAGGGCTGTGGCGCCATCTGCTGGTGGAACAGGGGAATGCACATTTGTTTTATCATAGTAAAAACTGATGTTAAGTTCTAACGCAATAAAATCCAATGAGACAAACTGTGATTAGTGAATGAAAGATGAAGATATATATTCAAGTTTTAGATTTTCACTTTTTATCCATAAATAAACTATAAATACATTTTCAGATAAATCAGGTACAAATATACTTATTTTTGAAAAGTTACCTTTGATGTTGTGATTTTTAGAGGTGGCAAAAGTCCTGGAACCAAGAAGTATCAGATTAGTCCTGGTCTCTGGTCTAATGCTGGGATTCTGAGGAGCACAGGGACTGGTCTCCTGCTGGGACTCTGAGGAGCACAGGGACTGGTCTCCTGCTGGGACTCTGAGGAGCACAGGGACTGGCCTCCTGCTGGGACTCTGAGGAGCACAGGGACTGGTCTCCTGCTGGGACTCTGAGGAGCACAGGGACTGGCCTCCTGCTGGGACTCTGAGGAGCACAGGGACTGGCCTCCTGCTGGGACTCTGAGGAGCACAGGGACTGGCCTCCAGCTGGGACTCTGAGGAGCACAGGGACTGGCCTCCAGCTGGGACTCTGAGGAGCACAGGGACTGGCCTCCTGCTGGGACTCTGAGGAGCACAGGGACTGGCCTCCTGCTGGGACTCTGAGGAGCACAGGGACTGGCCTCCAGCTGGTCCCAGAGTCAGGACTAAACATGGGGAGGCAGCATTTCAGATTCATGCAGCTAAAATCTGGAACAGTCTTCCTGAAAATGTGAGACAGGCTTCTTTTCTCTCTCCTCCGTCTCTCTCTCCTCTCTCTCCTCTCACGTCTCTCTCTCTCCTCCGTTTCTCTCTTCTCCGTCTCTCTCTCCTCTGTCTCTCTCTCGTCTCTCTCTCTCCTCCGTCTCGCTCTTCTCCGTCTCTCTCTCCTCTCTCCTCCGTCTCTCTTCTCCGTCTCTCTCTCCTCTCTCTTCTCTCTCCTCCGTCTCTCTTCTCCGTCTCTCTCTCCTCTCTCTCCCTCTTCTGTCTCTCTCTTCTCTCTCTCTCCTCCATCTCTCTTTCCAAACTCTTCTGTCTCTCTCTCTCTCCTCCCTTCGTCTCTCTCTCTCTCTCTTTATGAACTGTGCTATACCAATAACCTCTCCATCCTTTGCCCTAACTACAGATACTTTCAGTGCAGTAGTTAAACTTGCTCCCTCTGCTGTTCTTTCACTAATATTGCACCCAAGTCAGACTTTCACGTGAGAGATGGACTGAGCCAGGATTTAGTTTTTCATTCCCATATTTTAATGACATATTTATCAACAAACACACATGTACCGTCCTCAAACACAGGAGCTGCAGCTGTAGTGTTAGTGTAGTCTGTGTGATCTCCACCAGAGGGCAGCACCTCCACAGGACACGGCCAGAGTCAGACCCACAGCAGGTTCTCGGTTCAGTCTCTCCTTCTGTCACTGCAGTTTAAAAAGGTACAAAAGGACATTTTCAATTCAACTCAGAGTATTTTTGTGTTTTGTGTTCAGACCTAAATCACTGCAGAAGTCGTGAAAAGTTGTTGATAAGAACAAAGAAAAAACCAGTGTCTGAAGGATTTTATCTTTGACTCTTTTTAACGCACTGAGGCTAAAGTTTAACATCTTAAGGTTTTGAATTACGTGTGTTTTTCCCAAATTTTAGGAAATAACCGCCCTCTCCACTTTTCACACAAAACTCTCTGGTCTTATTGGTCGATCAGGGGGACCAATCATCTTCTTGATCCACGCGGAAGTAGAAAATCCTCCCATAGACCTTTAATGTGTGTTTTTAGAGAGCCTTTATATCTTTACATTCTACACTCTGTAATGTCTCTGAGGTTCTTCAGAAAAAGTGTAATTTCACCGGCGAATATGACTGAAACTAATTTA